CGTCCTTCTCCACGAACTGGTTTCCTTTTTGAAGTTCCAAATTGTCCCACTATTACTACCATTTTCCTATAGCTCAGCATCACCTTTCCTTCCTACTTATCTTTTTTTTTTTTTTTTTTTTTTACGGTACACGGACCTCTCACTGTTGTGCCCTCTCCCGTTGCGGAGCACAGGCTCCGGACGCGCAGGCTCAGCGGCCATGGCTCACGGGCCCAGCCGCTCCGCGGCACGTGGGATCCTCCCGGACCGGGGCACGAACCCATGTACCCTGCATCGGCAGGCGGACTCCCAACCGCTGCGCCACCAGGGAAGCCCTATTCTTTTTTAAGACTCAAAAATTATTGTATTGCTTTTATCCTATATATAAGATGCAGTGTACTTTGCTTCCTGTGATAAATTTTCCTTTAAGAAACAGTTTTACAATACTTTATTCATTTCAAATGATTAGATTACCTGAAAAGGGAAGGTGGTGGGGTGCAGCAACAAGAAAAAGTAACTCTGTCTCAACTGTAATTACCCAAAGGATCATACCCTAACCATGTAGGCTATTTCATCAGAGGAAATTCTACCGTACATCCTAGGGTTTTCCTTGATAGTAGAACCGTTTGAGGTAGGATAGGTGGTATTATCCCAGTTTTTTCACAGAGGGGGAAACAGTTGGAGAAAAGAAATAACTTGGTAAGACCACATAACTAATAAATGACATCAGAACTAAAGCCCGGCTTTTGGAGTCCTAGAGCCAGGTTCTTACCATGCTAACATTTCGCTTGCCTCTTTATTATAAAACTTGTTTACTGTGTTAAATTATCATGATTCTTCAAAATGACAAAAGTGAACAGATAGAAACGTAACTGTCACCATAAAAGAGCAAATATAAAGAATTCTTCAACTGTTAGATCAGGAGTGCCATCTGAGCTGTGCCTTGATGGCCAGCTGTGAGTCATGTTAGAGAGGGGCTTCTGTCCAGATTCATTCTAGGCAAGGCAGAGAGTGGGTCACAAACCTGTTCCTGTTCTCACACTTGTTTTTCATTGCATTTTTAATTTAAGTCAACAATCAGATTAGGTTCTGCTTAACTTGCAGGGATCAGTTAGTTCACCTTTCTCCTCCTCAGCCCACTTTCATGAGCGTAGGAGGTATATTCTTCCTCTCCCTGCAGTGGTACTGGTTGGTCTCTAATAAAGAAATCTGGAAAACTGACTCTATTAAGTCAAAAACTTGAGAAAGTCTTATAAATCTAATGAAATTACCCACGTGTGGTGCTCCAGTGCCAAGGTCACAAATGAGTAATCCTGACTTTATCAAGTGACTCTCACTTTGATTTTTAAAAGTCTGTTTGTAATTAAATTTTTCTTTAAATATGTGATCCATTTTCATCTGAAGAACTTAGGCTGTTCCCGTAACCAAATACCTAAGCTAAGCAGTATACGTGCATGACCAGCACCCCACTGTTCTTGGTGGAGTATATGGTATATTTGGTTTAAATACCATTGATATGATCAGATGATGAGGATTTTTTTCTAGAATAGGACAAACTTAGATACTAAAATTACCTGATCTAAAGAATGAGTATGGCTGATTTATGTCATTCATATTGATCCTATTTCACCTCTTTATGTCTGCTAATGACCAAATTCATAACTTCCTTGTAAGGAGGTATTCAGAAGAGTGAAAAGTGGGGAACGTCTGGGTTTTGAAGTCTGACTTGACTTTGCACCTGGCTTTGCTGTTTAATAATTGGATGACCTTAGAGGAGTCACTGATTAACCTCTCTCGGCTTACCTTCCACATCTGTAAAGTGTATATATTAATAGTACTTGCGGGCAGGCAGCTGGGTGTGGGGCGGGGGCTGGTGTAGGGACTGTGGCAGTGCGCGGGGACCCGGTACAGTGGCTGCAGGGCTGAAGAGAAGCTACTAAAGTTCCTGTGGACGCAAAGTAGAATTTCATAAGAACATAATGGATGGAGAAGTGAAAACCTATGGTGGCTGTGAGGGCTCTGATGCCATGTATGTCAAATTGATATCTTCGGATGGTCATGAATTTATTATAGAAAGAGAACATGCGCTAACATCAGGACAAAAAAGGCATGTTGAGTGGCCCAGGTCAGTTTGCTGAGAACCAAACTAACGAAGTCAATTTTAGCGAGATCCCTTCACATGTGCTATCAAAAGTATGCATGTATTTTACCTACAAGGTTTGCTACACTAACAGCTCCATGGAGATTCCTGAATTTCCAATTGCACCTGAAATTGCACTGGAACTGCTGATGGCTGCAAACTTATATAATAAATTATAATAAACTTAACTTTTTTCAGTATTTAATACCTGTAGTTAGTAGTTTTTTCGTATATAGCATGTTGCCTGTGTGCAATTGAACTTTAAAGTTCGTTGCACAGCACATTGCCTTCTGTTCTTTTGCATAGCAATCAGAGTTGAAATTTCTTTGCTACATCAGCAAATTAAGGACATTTTTACAAATTGAGAAATAAATATGCCAGTTCGTAGGTGTTTTTGCCTTATCCTTTGGATGTGATTTTTAAAATTAGAACAGTGGTGATAGAGTAAATGCTGAAATTTAGGCATAAATTCAACACGTTCTACAGGTAAATAATGGGGCTACGTGTTTTTATGTTTTTAGTGTTGTTTTAAAAACCTATTCTGATCTTAATAGCTGTCATTAGCATTACTAGACATGCAACTGCATATAATTGCATTATAAACATATTTATAACTTAGCCAAAATACTGATTTTTATAACTGTCAAAGACAAGAGAGTTGAAATTTCTTATGTGTCTTCTGATAAACTGCAGTATTGTTTAAGTGTATCTTGTCTTTTTGTTTATTGCTACAATTTAAGAACTTTATTTAAAATCAGTTTTGGAAGATTACTAGGTACAGCTTTTGGAGCAGAGACTTTTTGAACTGTAGCCACATGGTCAACAAGTAAACTACATGACTTTAGTTTCATGTGCATTTTGCATTTTGGCCAATCCATTGACTATAATGTCTCCTTTGCAATATTCATTCTTACACAGTCCCTTGTGATTACACTTCTCATTATTTAAATATGTTTTAAAAGACTCACTGTGAACTTCATCTAGATCCTAAGAGCAAGACTTCTGACAATTCCAGTCTTCCTCCATTCAACTGAAATGTTATATGAAAAACGTGGAGAGATGCAGTACAAATCTAATAATGCACTTTGATATAGCATATTTCTTCTATTAATGTATGTCCCACTAGACATGATATCCATAATGTGGGTCTTCTGAACTCAAACTTATAAAACAGGTCATTCAGCTTTTACGCTAAGACAAAAAAATTTTTTGAACTGTAATAGAGGGTCTCTGCTTAGTCGTGGAAAAAGAAGCACTAGAGTTGGGGTTATTATCGTCTCTATCTTAGTAGTAAAACAAAGCTGTTATTATAGGGTCTATAAATTTAAGTCTTCAGCTTACTTCTTTA